TTGTCGATAAAATGAGAAATATAACAGATATAAGGCTGATTTAAATGAGTTTTATTTCAATACCTAATAACACAACATAACATCTTTATTAAGTTCTATATTCGTGCATCCCGATGTTTTTAAAAAAATTCTTAGAAAAATGTCTGGATTTTGTCACGTGATGATCGGCTCAGTTGATAATTCATGATTTTACCACACGAGAATGAGGCTTAGAATCTGTCAGGAAGAAGCGCACTTATCAGAGGTTTTAAAAAATGTTATTTTGAAATTATAAAAGTCTTTCCATGTCGATTACGTTCATTGCTCGCGGGATCGTCATAATATATTCCACTATCGCGCGCGCTGTAGAGACTCGAGTAGCAGCCATAACTAACATTGAAGTGCCAAGTACATATGGTTATGTACTTCTTGCAACACTAACCCTACATTATACAACTCTAGGAAACCCTTTTTTCTGGAATCTCCCGGTGATTTGAAGTCATGCAACTGTTTATATTTTTAGCATAAAAATCCAAAGCCTTGGGATATTGTCTTGTCAGAGTTTTTAGGTTGTTATTTTCAAATATCAAATCATGGACCAGGGAGTTAAAATGGTTATGAGATTCTGAAGAACAACTATGATCTACACTAGTTCGCACAGCTTTTTTGAATTTCATCACAGGCAAAGCACCACGCGTTGATCGGCAATCACTTGGGCCATGTTTTGCGTTGCGGATATCGGGGAATATCTGATGAGTTTGATTAGTTGGTCTGCCTGTTTGGATTTCTTCGTGGTGTTTGATCTTTCTTTATAATGTTTTTAAGTTCTTTATTACATTACTTCCATCGAAGATAGTGCATTTCTATAATTTATAACACTCAATTCCCTGTCATATATGGAAAATCGAAAAATGTCCAGGATTTATGGGAACTGATGGTGCTCATTTTGAAGTCAACAATTCATGTTATGATTTTAGCACAGGAAAATGAGGCTTGGGAATTGACCTCTTTCAACATTTGTGCCATTTTTGCTCTTGTCTGAGCTTTGAAATGTTATTTTAAATTTATCGTTCATATTTACGACCTGATTACCAGAATTACCATAATAAGAAATTGGTCCTTGAATCTTGGCTTTTATAGTATAAGAAATATTTGGTTCAAGGCTGACTGGCTCATCAAGCTTAGCAGTGAATCCATAATATTCATCATTCACCATTTCACAGATATATGAAGACGATAGCTTTGACATTATTTGATCTCTTTCTAAAATTTCCAATTCAATGGTGTACGTTGAGCCATTGCTTCCAAAGAGTTTCACAGCACTGAGATGTGCGGGTTTGTTGATAGTAAAGTTAACTGCATCAACTTTTTTGTCTTTATAGTGCCATGAACCCGATGAAGACTTAATAATGCTGAAACGATTCTTTAAACATACTTCAACTCCTGATCCTCTTCTGTGCTTTTTGCTAAACATGCTGGTTGATGAGGCCACTTTACCGATGATTTGAACCAGCTCTGTAAGCTCACATCTTTTCAGAATTTCGCACGGAAGTACCACTTCGGCAAACTCTTGGAAGGACATCAAAGGAAATCTAATAAGCCTGATTATATCTTCTCCAAGAATTGCTCGTTTAGAATCTCCAGTGTTTTCTAAAACTCCTTCTTCTATCTTTTTAGATGCCCATTTATCAACAGCTTGAAAGATCTCCAGCTCCTTAACCTTCAAAGAGTCTCTAGTTAAGACTTGACACAGCATTTCTCGAGGTATTTCAAGGAATGGTTTGGATGATATCGCGAGATGGGTTTTGTTGTCAATAACTTTCCAGCAGAAATGTTCTAGTTCTTGGTCGCCCATTTTCTGCACTTGAGGAAGAACTATAAACACTACTTCAGGCTTTAGACATTCTTGTAAGTACTCTCTGCATTTTATGGCAAGAAATGGCATATCATACTTGTTTGCAATGTAAAGTACTTCCATCACGTTGTTTCCTGTCAAGTTCACTTCATCAGAATGCACAAAGCGAAGCAATTCTTGTAG